CGAAGTTATACGAGCTCCGGGAAGCTAGTCCGGAGCGGAGGAATCTATTGTTATTTATTGTGTGGCGGTCGCATGCTGTACTCTCGGCGGCCCGGCCCTCGCCCGGGAGTGCGTGTGTGCGCGCGTGTGTGCGCGAGTGTGTGTGCGCGGGGTGCGCGCGCGGGCGGGAGTGGGCGCGCGCGGGGAAAGGCCCGAAAACACCTTAGTTTGCACCGAGAGACCATTTGCAGCGGGTGAGTTTGTATTTTTCCATTTCTGCTCCACTTTTTCCCAAGCCGCCTCCTGCCTTGTTTCCGCCACTTTAAACAACCACCAGCACCAAAAAAAAAAAAAAAAAAAAAAAAAAAAGAGAGAGAGAGAAAAAAGAGAAAAAAAAAAAAAAAAAAAAGGAAAAGAATACTTTCCATCTCCAGGCTCCACGTGCATCTCGCTCAGCCTTCCCCTCTCTTCATCTCTCCCCCGGGTCGGGCCCAGGCTCCGGAGTCGGGGGGGCGCTGCGGGCCGGCGCGCGGGTGGAGGGAGCTCCGGCGGCGCCCGCACACTTGGGTCTATTTGCATAAGTCAAATGCGGGGGTTGGGGGGGGCGGTGGCGATGCGAGGAGGCGAGATCGCCTCCCCCGCGGCCCCTTCTTGCCTCTCTCTGCGCTCTCCACGATCGCCCGAGGGAGAGAAATCAATAAGCCCAGGCCGCCTGTCGCAACTTTCGGTGCCTGGCGTCAGCAGGCCGTCAGCGTCGGGTGGCCGCCGGGGCTCGAGGCGGGTGCGGGGCCCCGGGTTAGGGACGCGGCGGAAAGGGGCGCGTGCCGGGCGCCTCCTGAGCCCAAAGTTTGGACTTGGAGCAAACTTTTTCCCTTCCTTTTCTGCGGGTGTATGCCCCCCTCGATGCCACTGGGCTTCTCCCCTGGCCCCGGCGGACTGACTGGGGACGCCTGCGCCCTGGGCCACGTCCTGGGGGACGTCCCCAGTGCCACGCGCGCCCTGCCCGAAACCCAGCCCTGGGGAAGCACTCCCGCCACCCCTCGGATCCCGGAAAATTCAGACACACATCCGCGCACCCTCAGCCAGACACGCACCCCCATGCGCGCTCGGCCCCCGCTTCCCGAGACGCACCCACGACAGCCGTGGCCAGATACACGGGTGGGCGTGGGAGCAGAGTACGCTGCGAAGAGTCACCGTGCCCAGATCCCTCTTCCTCCATTACACACACTTTCTGGTTTTACCCCCTCTTAAGATTGGGGACCAGGGGATTTCCCAAGCCCGGATCTGTCCTGCGACGCGCGCGTGTCGCCGCGAACCTTCGGCCCTGTCCCGGCGGCCGATGGCTCTTCGTCCCTCGCTTGCGCGCAGCCTTCCTCCCGAGCTCCCCACGCTCCATTCCTGTTCCATAGACACGATTCCCCGGAGCCTGGCGGCCAAGGCGGCGTGCGCGTCGGATGGGGACCGCGGCGGTGGTGGTGGCAGCGCAGGGAGCCGAGGAGTTTGCCAGTTGCCGCGGGGTCGCGGTCATTTGCTGCCTCCGCCTCCCCTCGCCCCCGCCCCCCTCCTCCCCAGACACCGCCGCGCTCGGAAACTTTGATTCCTTCTCCTTTTTGGCCCTCGGCGAGCCCACCTCCCCACCTGTTGTGAGCTCCGCCTTGGTCCCCAGAGACTGGCGGTGACACAGACGGGCGCCGGAGAGCTCCGCGCCCAGAAACAAAGTCGCATGCCCCCTCCCAAGTGTTTGCTTCGAAATCGCTGCTTGCGGCACCCCCATTCCCGCGCAGCTCCCGCCCCCTCTGAGAATAAGGACTAAATAAACAGTTGTAACTCCAAACCTTGCGCCTGCGATCGTATCCCTATCCCACCCCTTCCCCCGTTCCTCCCCCTCCTTTTTTGTTGTCGCAACTTTGTAAGATCCCGGGGAAGGTGCTGAGACTTTGGCTCGGGCCGATTTCCCGGTCTCGGGATCCTTGCAGGGATTCCCTGAGCCGCATCTTCTCTTCCCTCCACGCGCACTCGCGGGTCCTCCGAGCCCGCTGCCCCCTCTGTCTTGTCCTCTCAGCCTCCTCACCGTCCCGTCCCCTTCAATACCCCACAACCTGCACAGGGAAGACTTGCTGAGGGTCGCTCCGGTTTCTTGTCGACCGCAGAACCCGAAAGTTTGCAAGAGGAAGAGAGCGCTCGGCGGGCGAGCGAGCGAGCGGGCGAGGGGCAGCGACAGCGGTGCCGGGGACCATGGTGCTGCCGGCGCCTCCTCCGCGGGCGTGAAGGCGGCGCTCCCACTCCCTCCCCGGACTCCGCGGGTAAGTCGAGGCGGCCGCGGGCGCCGGGGCAAGAACGCGGGCGGGGGCGCGGGGGCAAGGGACACTTGAGAGCCCCGGACTGCACCGGGGTTTCTCCGTGCCCAGAGAGCCAGCCTGGGCGGCGCGAGGGCAGCAATAAGGTGCCCGGAGCTAGGAATGTGCCCATCCTGAAGCCGGTAGGTGCTTCGAAATACTGGACTTTCTTTCCTTTCCCCCCTCCCTTTCTTTCCTAAATCTGAAAATCTGGAGATCAAAGTTTAGCGTGGAGTGTAAAGTGCTCCGATAAAATATGGTGACATCCCTCTCCCCCCTTCTCACCCCACTCCTCCCTTATAACTATTAATTATTTCCAAGTCATTGTGTCCAAATACCCTTGCTGGGCTGATTACAAAGTGTATTGATTTAGTCTGGGCTCATCCTACGCTTTCGTCTTAATTCATTTTCTTTTTGCTTGGCCAGAAGACCCAAAATGAAACTTATTTCTTCCTCTTCGCTCCCTTCCCCACCTCCAAGCCCTCATATGTGAGGCTTGGGCAGAATAATGAAATTAATATAAACATTTCATTTGATTGCATTTGAGTTTCTCCAGTCCTCTTCTGTGAGGCTGAAGTTGCACTCATGTACAGTCACAGGTATTTTCTAAGTTAGAATTTCCTTTTCTGCTACTGTTCTTCAAACGAGAATGCTGGAGGAGCATTCTGGATTCTCTTTGAAAGGAAGTCTGTACATTCAGACAGTCTGCACTTCACCTTTGGTTGACCATAGACTTGAGGATTTAGGACTTGCACAACAGCTGAGTTGAGGAAAAACCCCAAGGATATTTAAGGAATGTTTCTATTACTGAAAATATATTGAAGAATCTCTGCAAAGATTTTACCTTCCATTTCCTTCCCCCCACTCCTGTTTTTCCACAGTGAGAATCAGTTTTGGGGGGCGATGTCTTAACTGGATTGCAGAGAGAAATAGTAAGGCTTCAGGTGTTTTCTACCCAGGGGTAGCCTCTATAATTGAGACAGTTTCTGCTATTTTCTGTTCCAGAGAGAAATGTATCAAATCTTTTTTAGAATTCCACTGGAGTTTTGATTCTCAAAGTGGAAATACCCATCTCTTTGAGTCCAGGAAAAGAAAACTGGGCTCACAGATTCAGAAATTTGGAATTTTTTTCCCCCTGTCTTTATTTGAAATGTCTCATAATTAAGGAGCATTAACAATATAAAAAGGAACTCAACTAGTTACCATTTAAAAGATGTCAACTAAAATCTCACTGCAAAGGGAGAGAAAAAAGGTTTAACATCATGCCACTGGCTGTACTCCCTTCCCCCTAGACTTTGGATTAGTCATTGTATAAGAGAGAGGGGGAAAAAATCTTTTTTTGGTGGGGGGGGGAAAGTAAAGTAAACAGCCTCCAACTGCTGAACCTTGACAATCCAAATTAAGGAAGCAGGAGAGATCAAACAGAACTGCTGCTGGGTTGTTGTCAGGAGCTGCTACAGAGAGAACCCTGGACTATTCGATCAAGCAGCAAGGCTATATGTTCACTTATGCAGAAATGGACCATTGCAAATGCTGATCTTTGTTGTGCAAGCAAAGGCTCACTTGGAAGGAAATACTCAGCCCCTCTCTCTGGGCAGCATTTGAGTTTCTTATGGATGCTAAGTTGCTAAACAAATTATTTTTTTAATGCATCTTTCTTTATGAGGAAAATGCACCCAAAAAGATATTAAAAGAATATTAAGTCGTCCGGAGGCTGTCTTGCTACCCAGAACTGTGCAGTGTATTCTTTTTACCAGCATTAGACTCCTACACTAGAGTTAGATAACGTTTTCTCACATCAAGTTTAGAAGATCTGCCTTGTCAGGGAAGCCAAGGTTTTGTATATGAGGGTTTAAATCTGATGTAAAGCTCAAAAAAAAAAAAAAAAAAAAAAAAAAAATCTCTGGTGTTGAAGTTTTGTGTCAGCCCACTCTTGGAATTTAAAAAGGCGAGAGAGAGCATTCTCAGATTAGACATAACCTCTTTTTTTAGATTGACATTCAACATGACCATGTTGCTACTTTTATTCAAGTTATCTGTTACTTGTGCTTGCTTGTTGTCTAGGAAAATTTAACTGCTTCACATTTTAAAGGGAGTAGTAACAGTAATTACTTTAGCATTTTGTTTTCACAGATTTATCAAAGTATAGTGAAAGAAACATCAACTATTCAAATTAACCGTCTCAAATTAAGAGGTTTATATTGCTGGAGATGTCTGTAAGATTTTGTGTTTATATTTAAATCCTGGAATATAAACTGTGTAACACTTTTTTTTTTGCTATAAACTATTCCCAAATTAAATGTCATTTTTAATTAAGTAGAAGAAAGTAGGAAATAGGACAAGTAAACACATACAGAAGAGTACAAATAATTGTCATTTAAGGATTGTATTTTTAATTAACAAGTGTCAGTCACATGGTAAGCACTTTATATTTTTTTATAAGCCTGAGTTTCATAACCACGGTGCACAACATGTTTCAAAGTCTGTAGCTTTTATTGGATATACCTTTATTGTATAATTAAGCAATGTGAGTTAAACATACACATGGATGCTATTAGGCAATTTTCTGCAATATGTAATGTTTTTAAAAAGCTATAAATATTTTCTAGTTAAATCATTTATACTAACAATAGCAAAAGTTAACTGAGTTAATATTGAGCCTAGGCATGATTTTCTGTTACTAAGCTTTTCTTTGCTTCTCTTAACAGTGTACCTTTGACCTCGTAAATTTGCATTCTTAGGCTCTATTGAATGGTATGTCTGTTTTCAGCAGTGGTTTAAATTAACAGAAGAATTGTGATACTTCCCAAACAAATATATTTATACCACAATGTGTCCAGTGCCAAAATTTAGAAAGAGAAGGGAGAATATAGAAGATGCAACAAATTTTGAGTCCAGCTTCGTCTTCGTAGCCAGTCTTATTGTCCATATTTATTTGGTTTTCATGTTTTACTTAAGAGTCAAACTCAGTTTAGAAACGTTATCTTGTAAAATTCCACATTATAGAAATGTATGTATATGCAGACAAGATTAGGGGTTATTGTACTGATCTCATTTCAGTGGGTATGCCAAGAATATTTACAGGGTATAGCAAGAGTTTTGTCTTTTAAAAATAATTTTAGGCACACGTTAATAAAATTTAAATAGATTGCAGGCTGTCAGAAAATAGTATAAATTTTGTTTATGATTCAGTTACTTTAAGGTACTTACATTAAAGAAACTCATTTAACCCCTGACTGAGGAGCATTAAGTGAGGAGGGAAGCCCTCTAAAGAGCTCGCACTGCCCTTTGCTCTCCCGATAATCTTAAATTACTACGATTTAATTGCAACTTCAAGGCATTGAGTATGAGCTGTTTCTCTATGACTGAGAAAGGGTTTCCAGAGCATAGTTAGATTTGCACAGGTGGTATTTTTGTTTTTCAAACAAAAAAATAATTTTTGCTAAGGGCTTTTTCCTTATCCTGTTACATGTCAAACTCCTTTTATAGATTTCAGTCATAGTATATGCTATTTTTGCTAAGCCAGCAGTATTGGCTTTTTTCTTTTCTTTTTTTAAAGTGTGTTTTTTGAACCTAGAGTGTATAAAGGTCTCAAGCAGATAGGGATTTGTTTTCTAAAGAAAATAACCTCAAGAAAGGCATCTGCTGAATAGACAGGTGAACTTTGTATACGAGCCAACATATACTTTTACTGTTTGCACATTTTTTTTTAAGTTGATGGTAGTAAGTCCCACTAGGTGGTCAAACACTGAGTTTGTGAGACTAGCCAGCAAACCAAGTAAGTTTGAAATTGGGTCTGTGTATTTTCTAAATGGTCTTTCTTAATCTGCAGGCCACTTTATTATACATGTGTTATCCAGGGAACCATCATAAACTGATTTTTAAAAACATTTCTCTTCTACAGTACATGGATGAATTAAGGTTAGAGATGCCAAAAGCTGGAATGTCAGCAGGCCATGAGATGAGATGAGTTCCTGAAACTGGGGCAAATCTGGCCAAATCTGGGGTATCTTATGCATGACGGTGTTTTGTTTTTTTGGTTTTTTTTTTGGTGGGACATTTATAGTTTATTTCAATGTGCATGTGACCATGTGATTAATGGAAATTAAGCAGATTTGGCTGTGTTGCCAACCTGAAAATAAATGTTGTAAGGAACGTTTGATTTTAAGAAGTGGCTTTGGTTTTGCATCCCATAGATAATGTTGTTGCAATTAGGGCTACAGGGCTGGTATTCTGTAAAGAGGAAGTACAGTGGGGTAAAGGGCATGACAGTCGGGAAAGACAATTAGACAGTGTTCTTTGTTTCTTTAATAAATTATTCTTATTAATTACAGTCAGTTTGTGCTAAGGCATTTTTCAAGCCTTGTTTAGAAGTCAGCTCCCATTCACAAGGAGGTTGTGCCAGAGGCTGTGTCCTTTTCTTGCACTGTTTTTTTACCCAGTCGTGAAATGTATTGACTAGATTGGCTTGTGGATGTCTCTGCAAAGCTTGTTTTTCTTTTTTGCAGTCCCCTGATGCCAGTTTTTAATATATGCCTTGCCTTGTGCATAACAGGTGTTTGTTTGGTAGCTATTTTATGGGATTTTAAAATGAGAAGAACATTTCTTATCTAGCCAGCCACTGGGAGAATGAGCTGCCTAAAAGGAAGAATCTAGTACCTGAACAGGTGTAAACGGGTTTTTCCTCATTACTCTCTGCAAGCTATTTTGTTTAAAGATGTTGGGGCTCAATTTAGTACCATGAAATTTTAAATTAAGTTGTAATAATTTAAGATTATTAGGAGAGTGCAAAGAACAGTGGGAGCTTTTTGGAGGTTTGGTCTTGATGCTTAAAGCTGCTCAGTTGTGGGGTTAAATTAGTTTCTTCAGTCTGAGTACTTAAAGTAACTAAATGGTAAACAAAATTTATATTAGATCCTGACAACTAATAATCTATTTAATTACATTAAAGTATCTGGGTAAAATTT